GAATTGTGCTTGAAGTGTGGTCTGAAAATGGCTGACGTTGGTAGTCTACAAACAGAGCAGCACAGTCTTTGTTACGAAGAACACAAAGTTAACATCTCCCACACTGGTACCACCTAAAATAATTGCTGCTGCTTCACGTACTTTTCCTCATATTCCTCATGGGATGAGGTTGAGATGGCAGGAGTGCTGATGAATTGAATCTTTGTCACGGAAGGTGATTGGTATTCTTTGAACCAAAAATGGACTTGAAGGCATCACCATAAGGTTTATGGCCTTTGAATTGAAAGAGGAACGCCCTTGTCAGTTTGTGATGTTCTCTGACTGGAACGCTCAAGTATCCTTCAGCTTCATCCGAGATCGATGACCTCTGGGATTCTTTCAGACCTTTCCCAAAGAATTGAAGTAAATTACTGGACGCTTTGATTTTCATTCTTGCCATGGGATTATTTTTTTGATGGAGAAATTGATTGTTGCTTTCATATAATAATAGTTGTCACTTTTGGTTTCTTAGTGGTTTGGCAATAGGCAATTACAGGAGCATCGTGATTGTTCTTTTTCTGCTGGATGGAGGTTAGAAATTGGACAGGAGAGCTGTGTGTACTGCTCTTTGGGTGCCGTAGGGAAGCATCAGCTCTCCTGTGTTGAAAGGAGCTTTTGGGGAACATCTGTAGATGTTTTCAAGTCTTCAGCCGATGGCTTTGGGGAAAGAGAAATGGCTGTGACTTAAGTGGCATGAAGAGCAGTATGGAATGGGCAATGATATGGGACTTCTAGGTGTTACCGTCGTTAAAATCTTAATCGGTGCATAAAAATTGCACAGCAGTGTATTAAAAACGAGTTTGAGAGAAATGGTCTCCTATATTTCATTCTAATGTGAACTTCTAATAAACCATTAATACTTTTTAGATGCTGCCTATGTCAAAGATGGGCCGTTTGTAGCAGTTCAAATTGTTGTTGCTAAAACTCTGAAACTGAAAATCCTGAGCAGTTGGTAACCTTGTTCTTCTTTTCCTTATATAAGGAATAGATTCCTCAAATGCTTTTCTTGAGAAACGGAGTGTTTTTACAAATGCAGGTCACAAATTGTATTTAGACATCTAAAAATCTAGAATCAATGTTTTTTAAAGAAGTTTTGTTACAGACTTTCTATTGACATTTGCACAGTGCATGCAAGTGGGAAATTTGACATGTAGATTAATGCGTTTTACAGCTCAATGAGTTTACTAGAACAGCTAAGTTCAAATAGCCCAAGCATGGAAACTGGTTTGTACTCATGTGGCACTGTCACGTTTGGCTCAAAAGGCGCAGGGAAGCTGTGCTGTACCACTGCTCTTGCACCAAAACAGCGGATTGAACTTGAAAATTGCAAGGATACGTGTAGCAAGTTTTGAAATACCTTAATATTTCTAAGAGGGATTTGATAGGCATCTATGTCAGTAGTTACTGGATGATCATTGCTGATCATTTGTGCCGTCATTGTAAGTCGTTGGTTTTTTCAATTCTTCCATGTGCACACAGCAGCAGTAATGGAAAGTTATATGGGGAGTATAGGCATTACAGTTCCCTATAAGCTCAGCTTATATGGTCTGTAACATGAGGAGGTCAAAAACTCTTTTTTTCTTTCATAGATACACTGAATTACAACACCTTGGGGTGAAACTTCCTGTTCCACACATTGGGTCAGGTATATATATATATATTTTTTACCCCTAAGACTTTAGCTTCTAATGGATCCAACTTTTTATTCCTCCATAAAACCTGAGCTGCTTGTAAGAGTGGCTTTTATGACTGAAGGGAGACAACTAGAGTTGGGTTTATGAAATGAATCATGCTGCCTTCATGGTGTTGTCTTTGTTCCTTGTGGGCGTTCTGTTCCAGTCTAACCAATTCATGAGGTGTTTAAAAGTTGTATTTTGCCTGTACTCAGAACGTTGTAAGGGTTTGATGTAAGCTTTCAGGAGGTACCCAAGTCTATCACTCCCAGATGTTGAGGTTACCGTATGTGATATTTGCCAGCTGAATAGCTGCTTGGCTGTGCACGTGTTTTCTGTGTAAGCTTGCACAGTGATGATATCCAGCCCTGCCCTCTGAGTGACTGTTTCATTTGCCTTCTGGCAAGAGGGTTCACTTTCATGCTGTATTTCAAGGCAAGCTGTATGTCTGAGATGGTCGTGCAGCTCAGGGCAGAGCTCTTGCTAGCTGAGGCCAAGTGAAGATGGTGATTGAGAAAAGGCTGAATGTTGAATTTTGCTTTGTTTGCATCAAGTCCTGTGGTGCAATAGGAGTGTATCTGTAGGATGTTGTTGCTAATGGAGACCCATCACTGATGCTGTGATGATTTTAGGAAATTCTGCTGCTGAGGTCTAGTCCACAGGCCAGATGTCCCATTTCCTTTGGAACGTATCTTCTGGTTCAGTTCAGGTTAAATTACAATATGCATGTATCTGATTTGTGTGGACGCTGCTGTATCATGCATGCCAAAGCATCTTTAAGTGAGGATGCTTGGGAGGCAGCTTTCAGCAGCCCGCCTGTCTGCCCTGCAGCGTGATATAGATGCTGGAATTGGAAGTGAGCAGGATGGACTTTGGAAGCCTAGAGTCTCTCTTTACTTCCTATAGGACCAGCAGGGGTTAATCTTATTTCCATGTGAAATTAGTTGATACTTTTGATAGCTGGAGTGGCAGGAATCTGTGCTTTGGGCTGAAGCAATAACTGGTAATTGCAAACAGGTGGGCATCGAGTTTGTTGTAGAAATGCCGTGTTTTGTTTCTTTTTAAAACGTAAGCAATCAGATATTCTAAGTGTCTATGAAGTGAATGGTTAGCCTGCAGTAGTATATGTTTAAACATCAGGAGGAGCATCAGGTGAGGATTATCTGACTGTGATACAGCCCAGCAATGGTCACAACTTTTCTTCATGTGATCTCCTTTCCTCATTCAGAATACGGGTCCTCCTGCTTTGCTGTTTTTCACATCTGTATCTGCCACAGAGTTCTAGTGATCTAGAGAAATAACGTAATGAAAATGTCATCGTGATGACTTTAGGTTTTACTTGTGTTCTGAGCTACTTTGGGCCTTATTTATAGGAATGCTGAATATTCATAAGAGCAGCTGAAGCTGTATTTTCAAAGCACAGCTCCAATTGAAGTTCTGTTGAAAGTACTGACTGAAAAGCCAGGCACTATCTATTGGAAATTAGGCAGCTGAAATTAGTGGGCATTTAGTTTACACTTTGGACTTTCATTGTCTTGTATATTCTTCCCATGCTGTGGTCAGATCTGCATAAACATGCCTGTGGGGAAATGTAAGGTTTTGTATTTGGTGTAGATGCAGATGGTAAGTATTTAATGGCTTGGAGGATACAGGCAAAAACTGGGCAACTGTCCATGTGCTGAATGAAGCAGAAATCCAGCTGGGGAGAACAGAGGAGCATTACCAGGAGGAGGTATATGTAAAGGCTAAATGGGAGATGCACGGTTTTAAACTCTTAACTTGTGTGTATTTTGCTTTTGTAAATATGTATTTAAAGCTTTCGGGGCACCTGGTATAATACAAGGCTGTAAAAACCATTGGTGCTTTCTAAGCCATATTTCTGTGTCTTGTGAGGCAGATATTAGGGGTGGATGGGTAGGGTTAGGAGATGGCCCCGAGGTGCTGTGTGAATGTTGTGGTGGTGTCTTTTGTGCATCCCAGTGCGCGTCCATCTGTGCATTTTTGGGAAGAGCAGTTTAAAAGCACTCCCTGCTAACTGTGGAGTCACTTGTGAGCAAGGATTTCAGAACAGGCTTGCGTTGCTTAGGTCATTTGTTTGTGAATTTCAAAGACTGTAACCTGACATCCTTAGACTTCTGTACATCTTTGTGTCAGTTGGGATTATTCTGTGTCCCTAAACCTACAATTTTATCCTGAGTTGTAAAGCTCAGGGTCTGCTGTTTAGCTTGTCTGCTCCTGTAGAAACAGTGGTACGGGTTGGAGATGCCAAGCGTTTCTCCCCTTGCCATGGCAACCATAGAAGCCAGACCTCGTTGCCTTTTCTCTCCCAGTCCTTGCCACCTTGCTTTCAGAGGTAACCTCTTCTCTCACTCTCCATCCCAGTCTGCCTGGGGTGTGAGTTCTCGGGGTCGCAAACAGATATAGTGCACATAATGCCATTTCCATCAGAACATAGTTAATTACTTGGGCTTTTTTATTTTTCTTCCCCTCTGTGTATTTGATCAGTTTGTTTTTTTCAGTGGCTCATTAAATCCAACTGTTTTGTATGGAACTTTTCCACAGAACCCAGAAACTCATCCTGACTTATAAATCTTCTTTTTCATTTGCATCAGTGCGTATAATGGAGAAAAAAACAGGTCAAGTTATGCCCTGGAAGAATATCCCCTCATTCATTTAGGATTTTTCAGTTACTGCTAAAAGCATAATGTAAATGTGGGAGTAAGCAAATGGATGGCCAAGCATAAGTGACAGTTGAGTTTAGGGAACCTGCTCTGTTAAGAAGAGCAGCACTGTGCCCACAGCTGCTTTCCCTGTTAGCACTTAATGCTTGTGTAACTCGCTGGTGCAGAAGGGTTTGGAGTAGTACAGTAGAAGGGGAATTATTCCTTGCAAATGGGAAACCTACGGATGGTTGAGAAGATGAGTTCTGTAGGTTGTGGTTGCAGGTTGTCCCAAGTTCCACTCCAGTAATTAAGTTTAAAAAAAAAAAAACAACCAAACCCACATCTTCACATTACTGAGAAGTGTAAATGTGCCTGTGAGAGAAGAGTGGTTTGGTGTACAGAACTTGTTTGATATGTGCCCAGATTGCCTCTATAGCTTTGAAGAATCCTTTCTATGTGGTTGCTGGTGGGAGCCCTGCTTTGTGCTTGGTGGAGCTCTGAAGGTGACGTGCTGTGAGAAGAGCTGTGCGAGAGCCCAAAGTTCTGCCAGTTGCAAACTGTTTATAGTTTGTCAGCTAGTTTTAATACACAAGTGTGAGAATTGTTCTTTTTCTTTTTTATGCAGGTCAACTTCGTAGTGTGCCAACTGTTTGCCTTGCTTGCGGCTATTTGGTTTCGAACATACCTTCATTCAAGCAAAACTAGCCCATTTATAAGACATGTTGTTGCAACCCTCTTGGGCCTTTATCTTGCACTTTTTTGTTTTGGATGGTAAGTTGCACTTAATTTCACTTCTAAAGGATTCATTAATTTTTCATGCCTTGTTTGCAGAAAGCAGTGCTTTCGTGTGAAGAACATTACCTGTGTTTTTTAGTTGCTGCAAATGTACAGCGAGTGCCTTAAGTTTTCTGAAGTGCAGAAGTTTTGAAAGAGCTTCCATTTGTGAGCTGGTAGCTAACACTCTGTTGTAGTTTTGGGAGGATGGAGCAGGTGCAGCTTAAATGTGCTTGGAAGGTCTTCTCTTGGGACACTGTGCAGATTGGTGAGAGCATTTCTCCTCAACATTATCTGCATGCAGTAACTCTCCAGGTCCTCTTCTGAGTATTGAATATCATCTGACTTGTTATAGGAAGAGTACACTGCAGAGCTGATGATGTTTCCCAAGTAGTATCAAGCCCCTGAAAAGGAGTTGTTCTTGGTTTGAGGGTTTGGGGTACATTCATGTATATTTCTTTTTGTTTTATAGGAGGAGTTTTGTTTAAAAACTTAAATTTTCTCTGATTGCTCCTTTCACATCTTGATCTTCGCAGAGCATACGAAGACAGAATAGTAGGGCTAATAAAGGGAATGCATTTAGTTGAGTGTTTTTTCTTTTTTCTTCTTCAAAAATTGAAATGGCTCTCATCTTCCCAAGCTGAATTAAGAGCCAGTTCAGTTCAGTGCACTGCAAGCAAACTGCTTTTTCAATTTTGAGTATATAGGGGGCTTAGATTTACACTGATTGTAAGGAATTAATCCCTTCCTCAAGCTGGAGTGTGGGTGCAGATGGGAAGATGCATACAGCACGTGCACACTGTGTGTCTGTGCACAGCGTGTATAAATAAATCTTGGATTCTAAGCCACAGATTTGGTCTCTACTTTGGCACCTTATGGAGGCTGTCCAACATTATTTGATAAATATTATTTCTAAATTTAGGAAACATCAAACTTTTACTCTTTGGATTTACACATGCAATTTACTTATATATGTAACTAACTCCCATGCATTTATTCAACTTTTGGCCCTGGTATTTTGCTTTGAGCAATCTGCTGTCAAAGACTTAAGGTCCTAGCTGCAAACAAGGAGAATGATACAGCAGACGTGTGTGGTTTTGGTGAGAGCTGTGTAAGCTTCAGAAGCACATTTTGTGTCTGCATTGCTTTGGAAGCAGAAATCATTAAGTGTAGTTGTAATAACAAGTGTAACCAAACCAACAGCACGGAAGGCCTCAAATACCTCTTGTTTATAACTAAAACTCACTGTTCTGTACAATATTTAGATGCATCTCATATGATTGATCTCATATTCAAAAAAAAAAAATTAAAAAATTGCTGCTGTTAATGAGATTTGTACTGAAAGAAATATAATTTCAGGGACTGTAATCTTGACACACTATCCATGTCAATCTGAGCTTCTTCAGGCTTTATTGCAATGTATCCCTCCATCTGTTTAAAAAGCAACCTTCCTGACGTGATGTTTTCATGTCTTTGTTATGTGGTGTTGCTTATATGTGGTTGATCGGAAAAGAAAAAGTGAATATGTTTTTAATGGGCATTTGTACGTGATAAATGGGCATTTGAATTTTAGGTAGCCATAACTTAAACAAGGGCTGCTATTAGTGAAGCATGGCAGCAAGTACGGATTGGATCTTCCACTGGAAGTTATTTTTCAAGGTCAATCAGTATCCAAGTGAATTTGTTTCTATGAGATCATCATGTTTAGTCTTCTCGCAGGTCCCTTGCTCAGTAGCTTTTAAGGTATCACATAATGAATGAATGAGGAGTGAAATTATGCAGTTGCTGACAAACTGGGAAGAAAAAAAAAAGCAGATCAGGAGAACAGAACAGGAGCTACTTTGAGGCTGCTTTTCATGGGGAAAATCCCAAACTAGATCAATGTATCACTTGAGTACATGTAAATGTTACTGAGCACCAAGCTGAAGGTGTGAATCAAGTTTGATTAAGGACGAAATGCTGTTCCCCATCCCTAGTTAGCTATTGACCATGTGGGGCAAGGAGGCTGGCTGGGCACATCTGCTGTACTTACTGCCTGGGAAAAGAAAATCTTCCCTCATATTGATATTGTGCTTACTGAAATATGGTTGGCCTTATCTGAGATCTGTTGTTGCAGATAAGTGAAGGGGCAGATATATGGGAACTAAGCCACAAAACATTCATGTTATTTACTCATGAAATAATGCTGGATGAAAGCATTGTAAGGCCTGATAATTAAGATTATCAACACTTTATATCCTTGTTTACTAGCTGGAGAATTCTAGTTAACTCTGTAGTATTTGCTCATTATTACTGTCTGTGCTGTGTTAAAGGGGGAAGCTATTGGGAGGAGAGAGGGCTGCTGCAAACCTAAACAGAATGCATTCTAAGTTTTTGGTAAGAAGTGATGGAGTTAGAACTAGAGAAGCCTCGTCAAATTAACATTAAGTAAATAAATAATGTAGTTGATTGTCATTAATGAAAATGCCTTGAGTGATTATTTTTTTTTTCCTCCTAGGTATGCCTTACATTTTGTTATACAAAGTGGAATTTCCTACTATCTCATGATCATTATAGGAGTGGAAAACATGCACAAGTAAGGTTTTTATTCTAAAGCATAATAGTAGAAAAATTAAAGAATGCTACTGTTGTGCTTCCTTGTAGCTGTGCATTTGTGCTGCTTTTAGTTGTAGTGGAATGCCCAGATCTTTCAGTATTTGATTTCTGCTAACTGTGAGGGTTTTTTTTCCAGCAGAGAAAATGGTTTATCGGGTATTTTTGCCTCCTTTTTGAATGTCTGAAGCTTGTTATAATTGGCAATATCCCCACTGAGACTGGGGATAACAATATTCTCAGCATTCTGTTTTTGTTTTTTTGCCATTATTAAATAATGTTAGCTTTCTTAAAAAAATAAGATAATGATACAAATGTATTTTGATAACATCTGTTGCTAGTAGAAGGAAGACGTCTGTCTGAGGAGATATGTCAGTCTGTGAGATATATATTAAGGTACTGTTTGCCATGCTCTTTCTTTTGTAGAAAAAGCACAGAGCAACTGCTGTCTTAGACAAAAGTACCATCATAAAATTAAATACGTAGGGCATGATTTGAGGTTTGCTTGAGCACACGATTAGATTAGCAGTCTCTGAAGCCATGCAGAACATAGCTTGTTTTTCTTTTTTAAATTATTCTTGAAACCAGGAAACACATGTCTCTTATTACTGTGTGCATATGTTTTAATGTTCCACTAGGCCAGAGATCAGGACCAAGTTAGGTTCCCGCACTGTTAATTCCTGCATAAACACTCAGAACAGCAAATCTGTGCTTGAACAGGTTCCTGATGTGAATGAAGCTGTCAGGAAAGCTGCTGGTAAAAGAATCAAAAAGGAGAACTGCTTTACACAGGAAGCCAGGGTGACCTTCACGATGCTGTTTGTTATAACGCTCTGCTCCGTTATACTGTTGCTGAACAGAATTTTATTCTGTCTCTGGTTGTGAACCATGTTAGGCTCTTGTTTTCAGGATTGCCTGCAATGGCTGACCTAATCAAACAGCTACGGAGGTGAGAACTTCGGTTGGTTGGATGGGCAGTTTGCTCCCTAACTGGGAGGTTGCTTTGGTAAGAAGTTGTTTTGAAACAACAGGTTCATCTTGATTTCTCTTTGGAAATGCAAAGAGGAGGCACTGCATAGGTATATCTGGGTCTTCATCATAACAAATTCTGCAGACTTGTCGTGAAAAGAAATCTCGTGGTTATTTACTTCACTGGCAGTGAGGCAGGTGGGAATGCACGCATTTCATGTTCCTGTGTTGGAGTGTGGGAACTGACAAGCTCTGGGTTCTTCTGGCTCATTTTAGCTGGTGCAAATCTGAGGCTTCATCTGCTGAAATGACTGCTGTGCTATGTGCAACTGTGTGTGTTCTCTTAGCATGGTTGCTCCTCACCTGGGAGGGTAAAACTCAGATTTGACTGCTGGGCTTACGTTGCTGTATCATGGTATGAATTAAGATGCCATTGGATGAAACTAGAAAGCTGCTCTTTCAATGAAGGAAAAAAAAATAACAAATGTAACAAACACTCATTCTTCAAAGTTGACTAGAAAAACAAGCCTTATTAGTAAAGCAGTGTTTTTATTTCAAGTAACTATTCCACGAGTTTATTTTACTAGCTGTATTTTAATGCTATTTAAGGACTTTGGTTCAAATGAAAGCTTGTGCTGCATAGCTATGGAGTATGGCATGAAGGCTGCAATGAACAGTAAGTTTAGAAAACTTACTTGTAGTATAAGGCTGGTGAGAGCATTAAAATGTCTTTAAAGATAGTTGTTGAAACTCAACCTGAATAGAGTTAGTCTGGTGTCTAGTAGTTTTGTAAGTCAATTCATAGTTGCTCCTTTTAGGTCATTTCTGCTGATACAGCAGTATGAATAGAAAATCTAAGCATCTGGCAGCCTGGAAGCACGGTAGTTCTGCTGCTAGCTATTTTCTGGCAGCAGCAGAAAAATAATGCTGTAGCTTCCTGTATTCAAAAACCATATTGAGGCTCATACTGCTGAATAAATAAGAGCAGGGCCAGGAAGCAAGCATGAGTGTCGGACTGCAGACAGTACCTGTTTGGGGCAGTTTTGGCCTCCACCAGTCAACACGAGGGTAATGCTTGGATGCTGTCTGGGAAGCTCCAAGAGCCATTCCTAAGAGGTGACAAAAAAGACTGTATAAGATCATCTCTTTCAGTTCTTACAGTACCCCTGGAGGAGTAGAGTCTCTCGGTGTCTCTATATGTCAGTACCTTTTACAGAAGGATTACACCCTGTAGTCCTGATGTTCTGCTGTGAAAACAGTACTTTTCACACGGCACCCTGGTTCTCCAGCCCTGAGGCCAGGTGGTGTGGCCCTGCCCATGTCCTGCTGGTAGGTATGTATATATACACCTCTTCAGAGTACTTCTGTATGCCTGCATTGTTTTGTGTTCCACTTCACTGGTGGTAGAAGAGCCCACTGCCTGGCAGTCCCATTTAAGAAGTTACCTGCGCTGTTCATATGCTGGTTAAACTCAGATAGCACAGAACACCAAATACTTATATAGGATGGAAATATGGATTCAAGTGATTTTGGATTGAAAAAACACTTGCATATTATGCAAACTATTCTTCTGTGATAATCACAGTGTGGCTCAGGTGGGCAGGAACCTCTGGATCCATGTAGCACAGCCCTTGCTCGAGCAGGGTGCCCAGCACCACATCCTGGCAGCTGTTGGAAATCTCCAAGAAGGAGACCCTACAGCTTCTGGGTGACCTGTGCCAGGGCTATATCCAACTTGCATCCAAATTCATTCACTGAAGTTGATTTTGCTCTTCTCCTGCCTGTCATCCTGCAGATGAGTTTATTAATTGGGATGTCATTCTTTGTAACAGTACCTCATTCTCTCCAGCCTCTCTAAAATGTGTTTTGACAAATTTAGACTACTTACCAGCTCAGCTGCTATATGTTGGGCATACTGACATCCTTACCAAGGAGCAAGTTTTGATGAACTTCTATGTTTTGTAGAACGAACTTTCAGGTCTGGTGCTGACAGTCTTCCAGACCTCTCTCATTTTCCTCATGTACTTCCTTTGGTTCCTTGAAGTCCTGCTGTTCTGCCAAGTTTCTACCTTTGCGATCTTCCTAAGGTATCTGAACTCTCTGCAGCTATTGCTTTTAAATGTTAGTCTTGGCAATGCATGTTGTGTTAAAGATGAAAGCCTCACTTCAATAATGGGAGAGGGAGAGATGTGGAAGAAAAACTCCATGCAAAAAGAAAAAATTGGACATGCCAAGAAGAAAGCAAATCTTATCTTTGTATTTTACAACTTTCAGGGAAAAGTTAATTACTGGAAGACCGGTTATCTGAGATGTGAATTAACTAAAAGCAACTTTCTTTAATACGTAAGTCTTATTTCAATGATGGTGTTTAAGTAAAAAATGGAGTGGTGAACAGAGTTTCCTGAAAAGAATTTGAGGTTATATATTTGTGGTGCTTTTCTGGCTCGGTAGTAAAAATGAAAGATGTTTAACAAGTTCTCAACTGCAGTACATTTGTATTTGATAACTGATGTGGTGCTAATATTTTTTTTTCTTAGAAATCCTCCTTATCCTTCTGTGTGCTTTTTGTTTTTCAAACTGCTGCTTTCCTTACAAGACAGATCTCCAAATACCAGAGAGTTTTTCCTTGGAGCAGTTGGCTACTGTTGGCTAGTAGCTATGTAAGCAAATTGTGCACAGGTGACTTACTGACAAGCTTTTTAAGGCTTCCAGGCAACATTCTCTTTCGACATAATTGTTCATTTTATGGTTGGTAAATAATGTCCCTCTGCCTGTGTGGAAAGGAAAGTCAATGACAGGGCTTGCAGTTGCTTCACTGAAGTCGGTAGTTTTCTCAGTGACCTCACTGATAAGGCTCAAGTTCCAGCTGTGACAGTGTAGAAAGTAAATCTGCTCATTTAAAACCAGCTCTTTTGAACCTCATAAATCCACTAACGTTAAGCCACGCAAAGGCATGCTATTGGTGTCTATTGTTACCAAGCAATAGGTGTGCTATTGGTATCTAATATGTTCTGCCTTACACTTTAGGTTATAGGATGATTGTTTTATTGTTCCAGAAGTCCAGAATTGAACTACAGTAACTTATGAGGTTATTTCTGGATTTAGGGGGGAAAAAAATCACTTAGCTGTTCTCTGGCATATTGAAGTTGTAAAAAGAAAGCTCTTGAAGGACTAAGAAAGCTGGGATAACTATTAGAGGTAAGTATTTAATGAGCTTGGAGAGCTCATAGAGTTGATTTTTTGATAGATTCTCATAATTTTGTCAAGTCTGTAGGTTTTAGGCACCTTACTGATTATTACATGGAGTATTTCTTGCATCTTTTATGAAATACCTTCGTTTCCTATCACAATTAGGTGTAATACTTTCTCTTTGGATGATTTTTTTTTAAAGATTTAATATCTTTCTCCTTTGATCAGTTAATGAGGCTGTGGTGGCTTCTCTTCCTAGGTTTCATCCTAGATTTCATCTGACTTCGTAGGTGAAGTGTCTGCCAAATACCATGTAGAAATTGATCAAGTAGTTGCTGCTAGCATTTTGAACTCCTAATATTTTGCTAAAGATTCAATTTCTAAACACTGTGGTGAAGGGATTGCCAATACAGTCCATAATCACCAGAGGAAGGCAAGCAAGTAAGCTTAATATTAAGGGCTTGCAGAAATTCAGCTTCTTAATGTGGAAGCTATGATGGAGAAAAGCAAGGAGGGCCTTTTCAAAGGTTTCTCACATAAAGAGTTTATTTTTTAATCTACTTCAACAAAATGTTCATCTAAATTAATTTGCTCATCATGTTAATTGAGACATTTCATTAAACACCTGACTGACAAATTCTGCTGCATGTCATGATTAGCTGATAGACACATTGGACTTAAGGTTACCCTGCAACTTAAATTGCTGTCAAAACTGTTACCTATTTTTAAAAGTGATGGTTTCAGTGAAATACAAAATGGATCGAGTAGATTGCTCTCACACTCATCCTGTGAGCGAGGGGGAAGATTTATTGTGTCTTTCTTGTA